GAGGGCCAACGCACCCGGTGTGAACTCCAGAATCCGATGGACAAATGCCCGGGAGAAGGAGCGCTGGGTCCCGCCAAAGGAGACCGACAGCTCGGACAGTGAGCGCGACGTAGCGGCGCCCTCATCGTTGAACAGGGGCTCGGAGAGCTTCTCGAAGAGACGATACGCCGACCGCAATGGCCGGGGGTCCTCCACAGAGGACACCCACAGAGTGGCCATCGCGCGACTTAGCATCCCGGCCCCCGGGGCATGTGAGGTGGAGGCAGGGCGCTGTTGCTGCTGCTGCTGCTGCTGCTGTGCGGCTGCGGTGGCGGCTGCACCGACGGTTGCCGCATGCGATGGAGACATCGGCGGCGATGTGACCGTCGAGCCAGGGCCGCCGCCGGGCGTCAGATCATTGATGGCCCGGTATGCGACGCTGAGTGCGGCGCTGGCCGTCGGCACGAAGGACACATGGTTAATCGGCAGGGTGACAATGCGCGAGCCCTCGGAGCCTGGTTCATGGGAGTGTCGTGTGTGTGTGTGGGGGGGGGGGAGCATGTGCGGGCGTGTGAGACGGTGACGATGGTCGAGACGCTGCTAGGACGATGGACATGGCCCTGATAAGGGACGGCAAAGGAGAGGGGGAGGAGGGTGGAGAGAGGGAAGGGAAGAGAGCGAGGGAGAGAGAGAGAGGGGGAGAAGGGGAATGGATGCATGTACCCTTGTTGGAGATGTCCCAGAAGCAGACGGTTCCATCGGAGTGGCCAGTCAAGAGGAGCTGTGACGGAGACACCGGCTGGACATATGCCTCAAGCGGCGAGTATCGCCAGATCTATGGAGGATGAGATTGGGGTTCGGGCAACGACCGAGAAGGGGAGGGGAAGAGGAGAGGGAGAGAGGGGGAAATAAGTGGGAGAGTGGAAGGGCGAGCAGGAGGGAGAGAAAGAGAGAAAGAAGGAGCACACTGGGTGATGGGCGCGCGAGTTGGCATGTGAGCTAAATACAACACAGGCGGGGTCGCACCGACAGAAGATCACTGCCAGGCGAAGCAGCAGGGGTACCGGGGCTCGACAGCGATGCCAGAAGGGCGTGTAGCGCCGGGGACACCAGCCCATTTGCCAGACTGCTGAAGCCGTGGTAGCTGGGTTCAGCGGAGTCGGCATCGCCGAAGATCGGCGGCGGGGCGCTTGGCACGCCAGACCGGGCGATTGTCACAATGGTCGCCTGGCGCCGAGCCAGTGTCAGCCACGAGTGGTTGATGGCAGCCGGACGATAGCTGGATCCGCAAGTGAGAGGATTGCGTGAGTATATAGGGGGGAAGGGGACATGATGGCGAGAGTGGAAAGAGAGAGAGAGAGAGAGAGAGCGCGGAACGAGGAACAAGACGAAAGGAGGACCATTCCGACGCACCAGCCATGAGAGCCAAAGAGGAAAGCCGCAAGCTGGCCCGAACCCGGGTCCAACGAAACAAAGCCCAGGGCAGCCGCACCACGCCGTGGCGCCGCTTCGATGACCGCCAACAGGCGGGCCGGATCATCCGCCCGAGCAGGTGCAGATGCGGCCAGAGTCGCGGCATCGTCACCAAGCCTCGAAGGCTCGGCACTCGGGAGCAGGAAGTACCGCGACGCGGAGAAAGTCTGACCCATGCCGATGTAGAGCAGGGAAAAGCCCTGCGAACGTTGACGCGTCGATGGCGAGAGCAGCAGCAAGGGCAACAGCAGCGGCGGCAGTGGCGGCGGCGGCAGCGGCAATGGGAAATTGTGTCAGACCCAACACCGGCGACCGAAAGCAAGAAAAAGCTTTCACACATACCGGATCATCCTCGGGGAAGGCCCCACCCTCGATGATCATCACCGTTTCCAGAGTGGCCACATTCGGGGACAGAGGAGGCGCCGCATCGGCGAGGGCCGCATGCATGGTTCCCTCGGGCGAGGACAGGTCCGGCAAGGAGGGGACGGAGCACCACCGGATCGAGGAGATCGGCTGCCGGCGCTGGCCCAGTGATGACTGGGGCGTTCCCATGGCTATTTTTCCGGACAGGCGGAGGAGAGAGAGGAAGAAAGCGAGTGGATGGGTGAGTGTGTGTGTGTGTGTGTGCATGCAAAGACACAATGGCAGAGGTACATGGACACCCGCCGAGGCACTGTGATGTCGGCAGGTCCCGAGGAAAGTAAAGGAACCGGCAGCACAGTCGACAGGCGCACCATTGATGATGACGTGAGGCGATTCGACCGGCGGCAGGACGACGCGCTGGGGGTCAGACCCGGCGGCCGCCGCGACGGCCGGGGCCGCGGCATGGAAATCAAACACGCAAATCAAGCCACATGCGTGGCCCGTGGCCAGCCACCGACCGGCGATTGGCTGCCACACAGCGGCTCGGAGCTCCGAGAAGAGGTCCACCGGGGTGGCGGTGGTGGTGGTGGTGGTGGCAGCAGGCCCCCCGGAGCTGGAGGCCTTTGGAGTCGCATGCAATGGCAGGGCGAATGCACGCCGGGGCTGGCGCTTGTCCAGCTCCCAGACGATGGCATGATTGTTCCGGTGGGCCACGAGTAGCTGGTTCGCATCGGCCGGGTTCATGGAAATGGCCACCACGGCGAAGGGGGCACTATGCGCCGACCGCCGAGGGGAGTCCACCTCCTCGCGAAAGGGGGTCGGGAGGGTAAAGTGCGCCTGTACCAGAGTCGGGTACACGGTGAAGACAACCACCCCGCCGGAATTCAGCCCGATGAAGACCAGTGGCGAGCGCGGCATCGGGTAAATGAACGTGACACTGGGGATGACATGAGCGTGAGTGAGCGCTTGGAGCAGGGAGGGGGGAGGGACCGGGGAGATGGAATGCAGGTGTGTTTGTGTGTGTCTGGGGGGGGG